ACTTTTAGCGATAATGTATGTTATATAAAATATTTAAATTAAATTATTGTACGTTTATTTCGCCTTTTTACTTTATTTACTAATATATATATATAATTTACAGTATAGTAATTGAAGATTAGTCCACCCGTATCATATGTAAACACACTTGGGGCATTTGTTTCTGTGTTTATTTATTTATAGACTATAAGTATCTCTAGATTAGTTTGCATATACATTCTTCTACTTTAAGAATGTATGTAATTTAATTATTTCTCCCTTTTTTTATTTTCTCTATTGTTTTGCTTTGTTATAGTATTGACATAACTCGTACAGGGGTACTTCTAGGGTGACTGTTGCTGCGAGGGAGTGCGGTCGTCTCTCAACCAGAAGGTTGTGGGTTCGATCCCAGCCCATGCAGTCAACATGGTGATGTGTCCTTAACCCTGAGTTGCTCCTGATGGCATGGCCAACGGTGTGTGAGTGTGTATGAATGTTAGTTCCTAGAGTAAGGTACACTGCTGGGTGAATGACATGTAGTATGTAAAGCGCTTTGAGGGGGCTTAAGACTGGATAAAGCGCTATATAAGTACAGTCCATAGTAATACTTTTGCAAGTATTTCTAAAGTGCTGTAGTACTACCAATATGTAGCGAAAGGACTTCAGTACTTATGTTACCATTGGAGTGGAAGGAGAGAGGAAACATGAAACGTGTTTTGCAGAATCTGAAACTCTTTTATCAGTTATGTCATGTGTTGTGTTTATTATGTTCAGTAGCAAGAAACACATTTCGGTTTTGGTTTCATTTCTTAAATGTAGCTGGATCAAAGTTGAAGACTCAAAACAAAAACAAAACCAGTGGAACAAAGGAAAAACCAAACCAGAGCACGAAACTCAACGTCTGCCTTGACGGGAAAGATAGAACATAACCAAGGAAGGATTTAGTATATTTATTAGCATTCATCAATATTCAAATAAAACCTTTGGTACTGACGATGCCTCAGAGCTACAGAGAGTCTTTTGCACTCATTATATTTACAAAATAAAAACACATTCTGCTGTTCTTCCACCTTCAAGGATCAACACATTTTAAACTGCTGTAAGAGACGGTGACAATGATCAAAAGTAAACATATTAATACCACCGTTAATTATTAAGAAACTGTGCAAATTCTTAAAAACACATGTGTTGAGGAGTCAGAATCTCCTTCGTGAAAGTCATCAGGACTGTGAATACATTAAAAACAAAAGACAATGTGTTCATTTTGATTCAGCTGAGCACATTTCACATTAACTCTCGAGGGACATTCAGGAAACTGAGCACCAGCAGGCTTTAAAAAAAGTCTAAACGTACTCCTCTTTTCGTCTGGTAGAGTTCAAACAGAGTTCAAAACGAGGAGCATGCATCGGAAAAATGCTGGACCATTTGGAGTCGCTTTTTGGGGGAAACCACAGAAGAAGAAGAAGAAGAAGAGCTCCGTGTCCATTAAAGAGGTGCTTATTGTTGCATATGTGAAAACCTGCCTCCACAAAGTGTCTCTCTGCAGGGGGGTCACCGCTGGGGACAGGTGGTGCGGGTGTGTCCCGGCATGTGGCAGATCCCACAGGTTCGGGGTTTCTTCGCAGCTGGAGGTTTTGTAGCGTCTTTAGCTGAGGTCTTCCTCCCTTTCCTCCCTCCGTCTCCCCCAACATCACCTCCGTTAAATCCTCCACCTCCGTTAAATCCTCCTCCCCCGAACGACACTGTCACAGAGGTGAAACACAACGTCACATTTCTCTACTCAAGTGGACGCCTCAAGGTCTCAGTGTTTGTGAGTCGTGACAGCTTTTTCGTTATTGTTGAATAAAATATATGTGTGTGTGTGAGGATCTCTCTCTCTCTCTCTCTCTCTCTCTCTCTCTCTCTCTCTCTCTCTCTCTCTCTCTCAATTCAATTCAATTCAAAGGGGCTTTATTGGTATGAAAGTTAAATTAAACAATGTTGCCAAAGCATTACAATACAAAATAATTAACAACATTAACATACATCTCTCTCTCTCTCTCTCTCTCTCTCTCTCATATATAAATAAACTCTGTGTGTTTCACAACGCGTGCATATAGCGTGAGATGTCTCAAGATGTAGATGATTTGACAGCCAGATGAATACAGTCTGATATTTAACTGTGAGAAATGAAACGAAATGCACTGCACTTACCGTCTGTCACGTTTCATATGGAAGAGAGAGAAAGAGAAAGTATACTGAAGTAAATGGTCAAGTGTAATGATTTGAGAAGTGACCCAAACAGAAACCCATGAGTGTTTTTTATTGGTTAAGTGGTCCTTGGTATGAAAAAGTTTGAGAAACACTGCGCTAGTGGATTGTTAAAGGGGGAGCCTCGTTATTATTAATAATAATAAAAAAAGAAAAATTATTAATCATTATTTTTTCTCATTTTTTTTTTGTAATCATCTCGCGACCCCCACTCGGGGTCTCGCGACCCCCCACCTTGGGAACCCCTGCTCTATGGCGCCACTAAGTTCGCAAGATAATACTCTGCACTTCTTTAGAGCTTCATGTGCCACTGAGCAGCTTCATAGTGACAAACAGAGCCCCGTCTCTTTATACAGCTATGGTCAGCATTCTGACAAGCGCAGAACACAAAGTACAGATGAGGCGGATCATAGTGTCTTGTTTCACTTCGAAACAAACTGAAAGCACAGGACTTACCTTCAGTAATGTATCATGTGTTGTGAACAAATTAATGAGTGTTTATTTTCTTTAATATGAGTCTGCTTGTAATGCAAGAGAAAGTAAACAGTCAGTTGGAAAAGTCCCCGCTCTCTTTCGTGTGTGTGTGTGTGTGTGTGTGTGTGTGTGTGTGTGTGTGTGTGTGTGTGTGTGTGTGTGTGTGTGTGTGTGTGTGTGTGTGTGTGTGTGTGTGTGTGTGTGTGTGTGTGTGTGTGTGTGTGTGTGTGTGTGTGCGTGCGTGTGTGTGGTGTGTGTGTGTGTTGTTGTGTGTGTGTGTGTGTGAGAGCCTCACCTGGTGGAGGTTCGTTCTCGTGCCGCCACAGAAGAAGCGCCGCTCTGCTCTCTGGTTCCCGCAGGTGTGGGAACGTGCGTCCTTTTGTTGGGTCCGTCTTCTGCACCGTGGCGCTCACCGCCTCCTCGTTACAGTTACACATCGTCTGGTCCCCCCCACTCCCTCGTCCTGCCTCTGCCTCCCGTCTGTCCGTTTCTGAACCCCAGGGAGGTCTTGGGCTGAGGAGGCTGCACTGGACCCCCTGCTGGGCCCGGCTCGTCCGCCCACAGGAAGAAGTTGCAGGTGCCGGCGTTGCACTTGTAGAAACTGACGGCCTTGTTTGGGTCCGTCCTTTGCGCACCGTCAGCTGCACGGGCGTCCTGACCGCAGTTACCACACGATGGCGGTCCCGCTAATTCCCGACGGGGGTCCGGTTGCGGGGTCCAGGCGGACGGGCGGGACGAGAGGTTTGAAACTGGGGCTCTGGGTGGGTCTGGCTCGGGGCCTTGGAGCTGGAGGACGGGATCATCTCCTCCTCCTCTCTCCACATTCCCT